TCTCTTAAAATTTATTTCATTTTCCACTAAATCTTGCGCAAACTTGGTGAAGGTGTACGACGGCACCTATTGATCTCCTGCCTTGTCTGTGTCCCCCCTCTCTCCCTTTCTTTTCCTGTGGTCTTCTCTTTCCATATGATGTGCAGGGATGTGTGGAGAGGAGGCCAGAAGCATCTGCTGTTTACCTGCATTCTCACCATGCAGTGTCCTGCTCTGGACATTTGTTACTACAGCAGTTCTGTGACATCTTACTGTATATAAAGCTTGTATCATTGCAGGATAGTCCCAGTAGCACCCTAATGCAGAAATCACAACTTTATTTTGTTCCTTTTACATCAGTGAGCAGTCGTGTGTAAGATAACACAACTGGGACTTTAGTATTTGGTAATGTATGTTATAATTTGTTGGATAATTAACCTTAATCTTTGTTGAAGATGTCTAATAATTTGCATGTACTTTTTAGAAATTCAAACAGTTTCTGGGGTTGTTATCAATGACAAGGTTAATTAGTAAGTAAGGACAGCAGCATTACTAACTTGTAGCCTGTTCTCATTATGTCAGAAGCTGAGCAAGGCTGGGCTTGGTTGTTACTGGAATGAGAAACCTCAAGAGTGGCCTGTATTTCTAATCTAATACCTCGGTACTGTGACTAGGAGCACTGCTATAGGACGTGGCATTCTTTGGATGAGGCTAAACTGAGGTGGTGGACTCCATGGTCAAAACAGTTTTGTAAGAGTAGAAGTGGAGCAGTTTCTCACTTCCCTTCCTAGTAGTGAGCAACTGCTGCATACTGCTCTGCTGATGCAGAAAGACCTGCTGTGTGTCACCCAGGTGGAGCTGCTTGTGTATGTGGAGTCATCTGGGATGAAATTGCTATTCAAGTACCAGGAATCAAGTTAGTAATTTCCCATTTTTATAGCACATCAATGAGTGGGGTTTGTCATTGCATTCCAGTCTGTTCGCAGTTACAGAGGACTGAGAAAAGCATAGCCCTTTATTATACAGTACAGCAGTAAGTTTGATATCTGTAATACCTGCAGAAATTAATTGAATTGCTAAAATCACTTCTCGCATGTTTGTGGTATGTGAGGTGTGAGTGTCCATGTCAAAGGAAACTAGCATCCTTTTCTGCAATTGCTCCATTCCCCTCCCTCCTTTTGTAATAGAACTGTCATAAATCTGATAAAATGTGAGACGTTTCCATTAGAATAAATGGCTGACTCTCAGAGAGAACAGAGATTGATGGTTAAAGTTAAATTGTATTAGCCGTACAGTTTAAATATTTAACACAGTCTTATCATAACTGTTCTTAACACTTAAAGTAAAATACAGCTCGGGATGTCTTTATATGTATATGTGGACATATATCTCCAGGTCCTTTCATTTAGCCCTGTGGCTGTGACACAGGAATTTGTTCATGACTGGAGAAGCTGGGTGGGTTAATGTATGATGTGCCTGGAGCACTGCACTGCCTCTGAAAGCTCTTCTCCTTGGTGGTCTCCTTCAGACAGCAAAAGAATCATGCCTATCGCCTTTGTGGCTGAGGAGTTTTTGGGGTTCGGAACAAATCAAACAGACTGGTAGACAAAGAGGTTGTAAGACCGCTTAATTGCATTAAGTTACCAGCATTGGATGGTTTGGGATTTGCTGTAAAAAGGAAGGAAATTCTTTGATCCCATTGAGGTATAAAATATATGTGTAAAACATGAAGAAGAATGCTAGCTACCAGTTGGAACGCATTGAAACTTTTGCCTTTGTTAGTCTATTCCTTGTGACTGGAAGGGTTCGAGTCTTGTTCCGGACTTACGGACAGCCAAATTGTTTTTCCAGTAGAATTTTGGGGGGTAATGCACACGGATCGATGATGAGGGTCCTGGGGGCTGACTAACCTTCTCCCCCCACCCCACCCCAGCACTGGATAGGCTTGCGTAATCCTGATGTGGCAGGTTGGACACGAGACACAGTTGAACCCCACAGTGATCATGTCATACCTGCCAGCAAGGGCCAGCTGTCCAGCACTATTCCAGCAGAAAAATAAAGTAGAGGAGGAAAAACGTTCAAGCTGGCCGAAATGAAAACAATGTAGTCTCTGACCGGCTCGATAATTATTTGTTTTGAAAAGAAGTGTTTTTCTAATTTAAAAAGTGCTTCAGGTTATTCAGATCGTCGTCAGCTTGTGTAGGCTGCCCTTGTCCTGCTATAAAACAGGGCCTTCTGAGACTTGTTCTACCCGAGCTCTTGATAAATTAATTGAATCAGTTCTTGTGCTTAAGTGGTTAGCATTTCCATTTCTCCGGGTATTTTGCAGCAAATGATTTAGTGATCCCTATGAATCCTGCAGGACCTGCGCTCTCTGGGAACTCAGCCGCTCACCACCGATCATCATTATTTAAATGTCTGACGCACTTTTTCAGATATTTTGTTAGGCACGTCTTTGTGCTATAATGGGGCATTAATGAGAAATCCAAATAACAATGGCAAAGTCTGGCCTGCAGATATGGTGGTGACACAGGGGATAGTTTAAGCCATGCGAGTTTAGCCTTGCAGAGAAAACTTTGCAAACTTTTACAGTCCTGCAGAGAGTGCTAGTAACCTCAGCCACTGCGGATCGAGCCACAGAACTAGTGCCCTTGGACTCTCGCTTTAACCTGAAGGTAAATGTTTATTACGGACTTGTCATTAAACTTCAGGAGTTTAATAGGTCCAATTAACACAATAGATTCATTTCCAACAAATTGAAATTGGGTAGGGTTTATTGGGGTGCTGGGTGATGGGGAGAGATGGATGTGCTGGGAATGGGCCAGCATTAACCCTGTCACTCTCCAACTCGAGCCAAGACGGCGTAATAGAAGGACCTCACCTGAGGCTGCACTCTGTGTGAACGACGTGGAATTGCTTGCATCTAGTTATGAGCCCTCTAGCTTCACCGTGTGTGCATTGTATGTCCCATTGCTCTTGTTTAGGGGTGATAGGTGATTCAGATTTCTGAGGGAGAGCCCCACTCGCTTTATGATTCATTCCTGCATTTGCAATCATAGACAAATGGGGCTGCTCCAGATCTGTCTCTCACTCGGTCCACGCCCCTCTTCTGGCTCTGTGTTCTCTCTCACGCCCGCTCTGGCTGCAAGGAAGCAGCTCCCAGGTGTGGAGAACTGTTATTCGCAGCTCGTCCAGAGGCACTGCCGCCCCCACCCCCTCCCAAGTCTTCTAATTAAAAAATAAAGATTAATTTTCATTGGCCTTTAATGCATGACCTTCCTCTTGCACCCGGCCTCTGTGTAGCGATTTTAAAATCTTTCCACACGCAACTTGCCTGTACCCCCTCCTCCCCTCCCCCCAAATCGATCGATTGCGTCAATAGATGGGAGATGACAAAGTGTTGCGATATTCCTCTGCAATTTTTCAGCGATTACGGGAAGACAGAGTGGGGATCAATAAGCTGTATGGTGTGGGATTAATTGACATTACCCTTTCGATATGATAATAGCCCGATCAGGGGAAGAATAATGAAGCGCTCAGACCAAGCACTATAATAATTGTTAAATAATTGGTTGGTCTGTAGTTGTAACAAATCTATTTTTCCTTGCTTGGGGAGTTTCTTCAAAGTGTGTCTTGGAACTCCAGATTCCTCATGATGAGATGAATGAGAGAAATAACATGTCGATATGATCTCCTGCATCAGCATTATTAGGGATTATGGACTGGCTTGGCCTAACTGGACACCTAACATTGCACACTAAGCTGTCATTATCTGCAAGCGCTCAATCATTAAACATTCAGTGCAAAGCAGAAGCAGTGTCTGGAGGATAACCTTTATGGTGCACATGTTTTGTGACAATGTGCCTGCATTTATAAAAATCACTTCAGGTGCACTCAGCCTGTAGATCTTGAACAGACCACTGGCACAGTAGCTTTGCTATTAAATTGGACCCATTTTTATTTTTGGGGGGGGCAGCATTGTCACGGGCCAGCATTTACTAATGTTTAATTTTTTGTTTTGCTGTGATGAGATTTTGAATCTGTGGGTCCTCCTGCTGGATTTCTGCTCAGAATTAAATTATTCCCCGCAGAATTTGATTTTTTTTACAGTGATTGTTGTGAAATCAGTTCCTATATCAGTTTCCCTAATTCCCAATGTGTTAGTTATTTTTACGTTGTAAGTCATGTGCACAGATAAAACTCCATGATGTGAGACGAATAGAATTTGATCGTGTTTATGAATAAGGCAGTACCATTGCAGGGCATTGAAGCAAATAAAACTTCCAAAGCCATCAGCTAGGTCTGGATGAAAAGCAAAGGGATATTCATTCTTTTACACACAGTACTTAATATAGAACTTTTAGTTTTATTTTCATTTTTAATGTGGACCCTGTAAAAGAAATTGTATGTCAGAGTTTGCATAGAACTCTAGAACTCCAGCATTACCAGTAATATGTCGTTCCTGCTAATAAGATCTGTAACATCTGTAAGCAGGGGTATTGCAGTTTCCCAAGGCTAGTTTCACTGCAGGGACAAGGAAGAATGCTCTGCCCTTATTCTCTGCCACTGACTTCAGGAAGCAAAGATTGCGCTATAATAATCCTATACACTAACTGGATTACCAATTAAAAGTGAAACGAAGGAAAATGATTAGGACATTTCTTTATTTAAACTTTTAGTCTGTTTTTTAGAGGCTGTGAAATGAGGCCATTTGGAAATGTTACGCTGTTTCTAAAAAAAAGTTTGTTTGAGCTCTAGCCTTGTTTAACAGATATGTTAATGCAGCCTCGAATGTTACAGAATTTTACAAATATGTGTAGAACTGTGCAGAGTTTTTTTGCTTAAGTGGCGCAGACATCCCTCCTGGGATGAGACGACAGGTGTATGGCGGTGTCGGTGCGCTGGCTCCTCAGGGTGGTTTTCCGTAAGTGCTTGGTGGGAAGGTATGGAGCGCTCCATCTGGCTAATGCCCTGCCCTTGCGGTCTCTCTCTCTCTCTCTCTCTCTCTCTCTCTCTCTCAGTGGCCCAGAAGATCGTGGCGACCCGCAAGAAGCAGCAGCTGTCGATAGGACCCTGCAAGTCGCTGCCCAACTCCCCGAGCCACTCTTCTGTGTGCTCCGCCCAGGTGTCTGCCGTGCACATCAGCCAGGTACGAGCACGCCGCTCCGGGGAGAGGGACGGGAGATACCCGCTCCGCTTCGCAGAGACCAGGAAATCCAGTTCAATGGAGAGTCTGTCAGCGTGCAGGGGTTAAATGAACCCTCACCGCAGTCAACAGAGAAATGTACTGTGCCATTCTGCTCTTTGGAGCTTTACAGTGGCCTCCTCCCTGTATTAAAGGCAGTAATTGTTAGAAGACATTAGGTAGCAGCATGCACTGTCCAGGTTCATGTCACAGACCTATCCTAGGCAGGGTTTGTCATCTGCTACAGAAATATAGACTCCCAAATTTGCTTGGGAGTTTGAGAGTGACATTGAATAACCTGGTAGCTCTTTTTTTTCCAGCCAGGCAAACCCCTGGATTAGTAGGCAGTTTCTTAATCTTAATCATGGATTCTCTCTGATCAATGCCTATGGATTAGTCATTCCATTTGTATAATAAGGTTTCCCTGACAGCTGATTGCCTTCTGCAACTTGGGTACCTATTGCTTTATTTTAAATGTAGTTTCCTGTAGTTGTTAATACAAATTAAGTGTAGAATAATATTTTCAACACACAGAGCACTGTGGAAAAATAAAGATGGCAGCACTGTACAGTGAGGTTTCCGTACAAGCAGACCTGTTACAGCTGGCATGGCTGTTGGGTCTGGGTGCCCTAACCGTGTCACTTAACCATTTAATGCCCAGCGCTGTACTTGTTCTGTTCATGCCATTGCCCATCTTGAGCGAGGGGCATCTTGTAAGGAAGCATGCCAGTGTTATCCAGGCTCCAAACAAACCCTTATTCTCTGACTGAGCCAGAGCTGAAACGGACTAAGGCAGCGTGGCTTAGGGGACACAGCTGGACGAGGAGTGCTGTCTTTGATAAATGTCACAAAATGTTCTTTCTTCTCAATTTTCTTACCTCTGATCCCCTCCCCCCCTCCCGCCTCTTTCCCCACAGACAAGCAACGGAGGCGGCAGTCTGAGCGATTACTCGTCTTCTGTCCCCTCCACGCCCAGCACCAGTCAGAAGGAGCTGCGCATTGACGTCCCGCAGACCGCCAACACGCCCACGCCCGTCCGCAAGCAGTCGAAGCGCCGCTCCAACCTCTTCACTGTGAGTAGTCATTCCCAGCCTCCCCCACTAGGCGCAGTGCAGCCCTGCCCTGCTGCTTCAGACGGAAACCTGGAGCTGGAAGTCGGTAAATCAGGAAGAAATGGGCAGTAATGATAAGCAACTGAGACCAATAGATTAATTGGTGTAGATAAGGGAGCAAGCACTACTGCTCACAAACTGCTTTGGCCTCTGTGTTTCCAAGGGTTGACCACTTGTGACTAGTACATTTTTCGAACAAGTTTGTTTTCACTGCCCCTTTTAACTAAGCTTTGTCCCTTAAATACAAGCATGTGGTTTGATCTGTCAGTTACGTCTTGGCTCATATTGTGTGTGAGTTACCAAACGTAGTAATGAGTATATCACTTGGGTGCACGATGGAAATGTGTCATTTTTTCAGCAAACGGGGCATTTTGAGGGAGAACTGTGCCGAATGACGGCAGAGGACAGGAAATGTATTTGCAAAATGTTTTTGTTTTTACAGTCTGAATAAAACCAAGCTCAAGTTCCACAGCGGTAAACTAATTCCAAATAAAAGTTCTATATGCAGACGTATTAATAATTTTAATGGAAAGCAATAAATTGAATGGATGGCGGTCATAAACTGAGAAAATTCGCCATCTCTGTATGAGTTTTGATGTCTTCTTTTTATTTTATTATCACAAGAGCATTTTTTAAAATAACACTTTGTAATATCAGAAGGTCTGTATATGGATTTCAGTCAGAATGCAGGTTACTTTCACCTTTGCGGTGACATCTAGGACAATGTTCTGTCTGTATTTCAACTAAACCAAACCAGAAAGGACGTTGTTTGAGATTCAGTGATGCACTTCATTACAGCAATACATACCTATACCGATTCTTGGTCATATAAGGGACTCAAAGAAACGTCAAACATGTTTAAAGTTTTTGCTTTAATTCACAGGCCCAATCAGTAATCGATCTTCTTAAAAATAATCTCTTACTTTGCCAAGTAGAACATGGCAGAAAATAGTGAAAATTATGAAGCTCATAGTATCTTTTAAGTCACAAAGCCAATCTGGGGCTCATTAAGTGAAAAGTAAAAAACAGCACATCTGTGGTTGACAATTTTGATAGTAACACCGATTTTATGTGAGAAGGCAGATATGGCTAGGTGTACGGTCAGCTGCATTGTAGCGATTGGCACTTTTATAGTATGAAAAGGTAACCTTATCGGAAAGTTAATGCATAATATTGTTCTTAATCGGCAGAGGTTTGTGCCTGTCCCTCGTACTGGGGCTTGTGTTCTTAAAACGCAAGCAACGACTTCTGAAAGCTAACGGAAAGGCTCTCTTCCCTGCAGTCTCGGAAAGGAAACGAGCCAGACAAGGAGAAGAAAGGGCTGGAAGGCCGGGCGGACAGCATTGGAAGTGGCCGCGCGATCCCAATTAAACAGGTACGCTACCAGGAGCCGTCTGTGGCGGGATAATTGGGGCCAGCACCGGCTTATTGTTCGAGAAGTCGCCTGTGATCCCACGTCACTCGGAAACGGGCCTTGTTTGATGCCTTCTCCTTGATTAGCCGCGCAAGCACACACTTGACATCAATTAGAGCGAGGTTCTCGGATGTATTGAAATTAGATCATTAGGATAAGGAGTGGGAAGGGATTCCCCCCCCCCCTCTCTCTTTCTCCCTCTCTCTTTCACTCAAAATGGAGAGAAAAGGGAGATGTTCCTAATGAAGTGCAGTCTGCCGGTCCTCGTATGGACCTGTCTGCCATTCTCACAGAGCCTTTCAAGGCACAGGCTTTCTTGTCTGTGAGGGCTTTGATTGGGACATCACAACCAATGGGGGGAGAATCAGAGAGTGGCGCTGAGCCCCCCTGTGATCTGAGGGAGAGTGTTTGAGTTGGCCTTAATTTATTGCGCGAGAGGGGAGAGGGAATGAGAGAGAAGTGTGACTGGGGGGGGGGGGGGGTGGGGATACGATGTCTGGGTGTTTCAGCTGGAGTGTAAGAATGAGGCAATTAGTGGTGCTAATCATGGCGCCTCATGTCATCAGTAGGGCCTTGTTTGTAATTTGCTAATGAACAAATTGCGGCTATGATTAGGGTCCCCTTTAAACGAGATCTGTTTTTATTAGTGTGCCACAGCTGTGATGCGCCACCCTGAGAAGACCAGAGAGCTCACTGGAGAACTTTTTATTTTTAAGGCTTTATCTGCAGAGCTGGAGGTACTAGCTCCCTGCTGGTGCTCCTGCTATAATGTTCTATAGCAAAAAAAAATAATGTCCTATTGAAACTAGGAAGCTTTCATCCGAATGATGTATCGCTGTGTTTATTCCTAAAATATTTATGCTGGCTTTTTCCTGCGAGGCTGTTCCCCATCACCAGAGGCGTCCTGCTGGAGTGAAACATTGTTTCAAATCTGAATCCAGGACACTTCACTCCCAAACTTTGCTCAAGAGATGCTTGTTTGTGGTAATATTGATTCCCTTCGCTCGGCTGATGCTTTGCATCCCACATGAAGAATTCCTGTTTTTGTCAGTATCGCATGGTCTGCCAGAGCTGAATTTGAAGTGAAAGTGACCCTCCGTGTGGAAAAGTAAGGGAGAGGAGAGGATTCGGAGCCAGGCCAGAGAAGGCTAGTTTGAACTATCCCTTCCGTTCTAGAACAAGAAGCAATATAAAATACCTGCACCCCTTACCCTTTTTCCTCGTTTTTAGAACTGTTTAGCGACTTTGATGCTGGCTTACTCATTTCTAGTATGTGTGTCCCTTAATGGAAGCCTTCTCCTGCTCCTGCATATTGGTTTGGACTGGCTGTTGTGCAAAAGAGGAGTCCCACAAAGACAGCTTTGTCAGACTTCCTCTTACGTTCTGCAGCTCAGGAGAATTAATAGGTTGACGAGAATTGTTAGGCGTTTAACTGCAGTTGCAGTTTTCTTAACGGAAGGCGGGACTGTTGTTTACAGTCACTTGTGTCGGTCATCAGTGATTTATACTGAATTGACAGAGAATTGTTTTAATGCTCTGTGCTGCGGCTTATTCAAAAAAGTATTGCATGCGATTAATTGGGGTTAGGGTTCAGATCTTAGGTGAGGGACTACTGTCGTCCCTTTGAGCAAGATACTTCTGCAAGATACTGGAGCGAAGTTTCAATCAAATAAAGTAGGTATTAGTAAAAAGCACTCTTCCCTTTTCACTGGTAATTGAGTTTTAGGTGACTGATAACATGATGCCAAGAATCTCACTGCATATGTATTTAACACCATTTTGGGGGGCGTTTCTCTAAAGAAGATTTATAGGCAAGGGAAAGGCATAAATTCTACATCCTTTCAGCTAGTGACAAAATGTAATATTTCCTGGTCTCACAAAAAGTGTGCTATCAGTTCTGTTCCAAAAGCATTTTGTACACACCATTCAGTGTCTTTTATTGATAGTGTTTTATTTATAGACCACAAAGTGAAAATTGTGTGCCATATAAAAGGAAGAAAATTGAAATTGTAATCTGAAAAGAAATTTTGGATTAAAAAATATTGATCACATTGATGTGCACGAAGGCCTCTGTGATTCATACCTTTATCACAGATCTGTTAGTGTCTTCATACCAATTAAGAGCACGGGGTTACTGGGGGGGGTCCTCCTCTTTAACTTCTGTCGAGCGCGATTGTTAGCGACTCAGACTGAAGGCAGCTCTCGGAGGGCGGACGCCGCGGATGAGGAGTTTTGAAGTGCCGCGCCACAAGGAAAAAAAACAACCAACACCGTCAAAATAAACAAGCAAACAATAAATAAATAAGGGTCCTCCAGAAGATATTGTCAGAAGCAGAGGAAGAAAGTGTCTCTGGCTGTGAGAGTTGCGGGCTTGTCTCTTATTAATTTTTCAGAGCGAGCGGAGCTGTACATACATAATCACTCGATTGCAGCGGGAGCTGGAGAGGTCCCGCGGTTCCATTTGCATAAATCTTGTTAAGTCAATGGCAGTTAATGAAGTACAAATGAGCCTGGCGAAGGTGACATGCAAATCGCTGATGGCAGATGGGAGGTCTATTTATGGCAGGACAGCTGTGGAGCTGGTGAGTGTGTGTTTGTGTGAGGGGGTGTGTGCGTGCGTGTGTGTGTGTGGGGGGGTTGTAAGTGCATCAGCGATTAATTTTGGGGTTTTTTGTTCTTCCTATATTCAAACAGTTTCTTTTAAGCCACGTGTTGGAAATGCCCATAAGTTTGTGCCTTCCCTTTTGTCGAATCCTTTAGAAATCAAGTGAATGCAGGTTTAAACTCTGGAAAGTGGGTGATAAGTTTTTGCTACTTTCAGGTGTTTGTTGAGGCATGAATGCTTTAGTCCTGTTTTCCATGTGGACTTTAAACAGTCCCACAGCTAATAAAGACCCATGCTTTCCAGCCTGCCTAAGATTATTAGTTTTAGATTCTAATCACTGTGCCCTGCTGATTGTCATGGTGCTGACTCTTATATTGGTGACTGTGACTATCATATTGTCTGATTCCACATTTTGTTGATAGTAAGAATCAGTTGTTGGTTTTCGGATGAGCTTCTGTAGCTCCGGTATAGACCTTTTTTCCTTCGTTTTTCAAATGCTTGGATTTTACCACTACTTACTACTTGAAGCATAATTCCATTCACCATGTATATGTGAGGAGTACACGCCAGTGACCTAATAACTGCAACACTGTAGTGTTTTTCTTTAGTTATAGTAGCCAGATAGTCCTGTGCAGTTCGTTTGAGCTCAGCTTCTTTCTTTTCCATGAATTAAGTCATTCTACGTGTTTTTTGTGGAGCTTTTTTTTACCCAGTCTGTTATGCACTGTTCTTGCCTAGAAAAGGCAAAGCTAAGGAGGGAAACTGCTATTGTTGCTGTGCATTATGGAGCAGCTCCTTCATATTATAAAAAATTGCTGTATGGATATAAAATTTATTCCTGCTGTGCCATCCCAGGTTATAAATGTAAGCACTGCATCCCAAGAAGAGACTCACAGGGTCTTATACAACACTCTTGTCATTTTTATGAAGAAATCAATCAGTTTGGTCAATCCATCACAGCTTTGCTAAGAGGGTCTTTTTTCAGATCTTATAGCCTGACTGGGAGTTGGAGTTGTCCAGGAAGCCAAACCTTGGTTTAGGTTTAGAAGCCTGATGCTAAATGTAGAGCAGTGAGCCACTGTTTAACAATAGAAATGTAGTGGGCTATCACTATTTAAGGAACAGCTGTTTTTGTGTGTGGTTGTTACCTTCAGCAAGGTTTTGAAACTTGGTACAAAATTGAGGTACTCAATAAAGCCAAAGACCTGTTTCCAGTTGGGCCAGAATTTCTGGGACCTCTGCAGAACTTGTTGTTTCGGAGAGCCGGACGCACACTCTGACCACTCCGGGGACAGAGCGTTCTGTGACCCTGTGGAGCGCTGGTGCCCTCAGAGATGGAAGGTGCTGCAAACTCTCCTCGCTGAAGGTCTTTGTTTGCGCAAAAGTGGGCATGAGCAGTGCGTCCCGGCTGAAAAATAAATCTAAAAAAAGAAAACTAGCTTGATCTGAAACGTTCTCAGATTGGTCCTAGCGGCCCCAGCACGTACCATTTCCCTGTAATTGGACGCTGGAGACGAGCGGTTATGTTTTACCAACACTATAACCAGAGCATGCCAGAATAATAATGAGCGTGCTTATTGCCGGCTAAAATAAAACAGAACAGTTTCTGCTTAGAGGCACGAGGCAGAAATTAATTTCCGAATTGGATGTTAATTGATTTGATAATTCCCTGTGGTGTTTCCTCTTCTGAATGTGCTCGTCTCTCTCGATCTTCCTCTCTCTCTTTCACACGTTGGCGGTGGCATCTGGCTCCTCAGTCAGAGTCCAGCTCTGCTTCCTCTCCTGGATGCGATGTTTTCTCTAGCTCTGCAGCACTGGGGCCTATCCCCTCGGAAGCCCTTTGAGTGTCATTTTATTTTTTTAAATCCTGTTTTCGTACTTTGTAAACAAATGCTTTTCCTTCGCTTGTTCACCCTCTCGGCAATTTTGATGAATGTGGCCAAAAACAAGTGGTGCGATGCACTGGCTGGTCTGCATCTTTGCTTGGCCTGACTAAAAAACTGATAGCACGACTCTTTGAAACACAGCAGTGCTGTGTTAGTATTATTCCACTAATGAGAAAATGGTCCTTTAAATTGAGGAATGCATAACATAGCCTTCAGTGCAATTGGAAGCTGTAACTTGTGGTTGTAAAGTCAACATGCCTGAAGCATCACCCCCAGCCTGGTTTTCGTTTTCTAAGTCTGTGGGATAAGGAGGTTATCCTCGTGAAGAACCACAGAACATGCAGTTTGCAAACAAGAGGATTTGGCTACTTTGGGTTTAGGGTTTGGGTTTAGGTTGCTAATTGATCTGAGAATCTCATTCTGCCGTTTCTTGAAAGAAGCCAGGGTACCGACTGTCGACAGCATAGTTT